TAGTGGTATATAAAGTGTTATTGAAAACATTATTTTAGAAAAAATGCTTTTGTTAAATACAGAGAAGTAAAAAAGAGATTAAAGTGAACAGCAAAAAAGTAGTGCGTAGTTTATTTATAACTACAAACTACTTTTTTAGTGTTATAAGTTTTGTTATTTCAGAGATTAAATTAGGTCAGCCAATAAATCTAAAAAGGTATAAAGTGCAAGAGTATGATCTACCTGGGATAATCTTAAGGAATTACCTCAACTTCTAACAGTAAAATATGCATTAGCAAAGATTAAATAAAATTTATACATCACATGCATCTAGATTATCATGGTGTTTGGCAGCGATGTATAAACAATAAAGATTGATGATGTTTAGTACATGGTGATTGGACAGGTGTCTGGTATGACTTTAAAAGATGAGAAAAGTAACATTCATCTTATCAAAAAATTGTAAAAAATGATTGTATCTGTGGATTTGATAGGGTGCATCATGAAATAAAAACATGTTATGGACACAATGATTAATTTTTTGATGATGCCTCCAAAAGATTCCAAAATACAAAGAATAATAACATTTAAAAAAAAAATAAAGACACTTCTGAGTTTAGAGTAAATAAAAAAATGTAATAAAGATGTAATACAAAAAATACTTTCTAATTTTTTGTATTACATCATTCATTAGTAAGAAAGTGCTTTGTTCTTTAAGAACATTGATCTCTCTTTTTGTAGAATACACTAACATATTATATATATATATATATATATATATATATATATATATATATATATATATATATATATATATATATATATATATATATATATATATATATACATATATATATATATATATATATATATATATATATATATATATATATATATATATATATATATATATATATATTCTTACTCCTTAGATATATATTTTATGTAATAGTTTTAAAAAATTTGATGGGTTCAAGTAGTAGTATACAAAAGAGAAATATTTTCAATAAAGATTCATGTTCTGTGCCTAAAAGTCAAGTAAGACAGTTTTTTGAAAATGAATTTGAAGAAAATTTATTGTTAAAAGATAAATCCAAAAAATTTATCCACAATGACAATAAAAAAACCAGTTTTTTAACTTCAGAAGAACAAGATACAGATGTATTATCTCAGGTAATTTTTGTTTAGTTTTATTTATGCTTACTATATGCTGCTTAAACAAGACTTACTTAAGATTACTTACCACACAAATTACTATTATTAACACACATATAAAAGTACAGGTGCTAATATAAAGTAAGTATCTGAAAATACAGCATCAATAGTATAATATTAATAGTAGTAGTTAATTATACAATTAAGTTCTATTATAATAATAATAATAATAATAATAATAATAATAATAATAATAATAATAATAATAATAATAATAATAATAATAATAGTAAAAGTAAGAACAGTAATAAAATATATATTAAAGCTATGCTATATATATTCATATACCTTTTTAACACTTTAAACGTACGTCTCAATCGGTTACAATCGGTAACAAGGTTATATTCTCTTATTTTTAATTAAATGATAAATTAATTAACCTTATAATGCAGTAAATATTTTTTTACTAATAATATATTGGTATTTATCATGTTTTATTTTATTTTGTAAAGTAGCTTCATCTCAATTAGTTACTTTTTCACCAAAAAAAAAAGTTTAAATTAACAAAGCTATGCCTCAACTAGTTACCTTTTTAAAACCTGATTGGTTTACAAAAATGTAATAAATCGAGATGAAACGGAACATAAAAAAAAGAGAGAGATTTTAATTAAGTCTCAAATATAGATTTTTTTATGATAGTTCATGTTTCAATTGAAGTCTCAATTTGAGATGTAATATTACATCTTAATTGATTACTCTCTCTCTCTCTCTCTCTCTCTCTCTCTCTCTCTATATATATATATATATATATATATATATATATATATATATATATATATATATATATATATATATATATATATACAGGGTGTTACCCAGGAAAAAATTTCATACAGCGTTTTTGCGATATTAAAATTGTAGGTGCGAAAAAAAAAAAAAAAAAAAGGTCCTTACATTCTGCAATTAAATTTTATTCAAAATAAATTTTTTTATTTTTGCTGGGAGTTAAATTTACAGCAGGAATATTTTTCTACTTTATATATGTTTAATTTTAATTAATCAACTTGTTTCATTATGAGCAATCTTAAAGGATGACTTTCCCATATTTTATGTGTTTTTTCTTTTAAAGAGAAAAGAGAAAATATGTATCGTCATCTGTTTGTAAAATATATTTGTATAATTATAATGTAACAATTTTATATCAAGAGTTAAATTATACGATCGCATTTGCAAACTCTGGTAAAATATTAGATCTTTGAAATTTTAGTTCATGCAAAGTTGTGTACTTTATTTATAAGGAGCAAATTATTAAAAGTTTGCTAGTGAGAAAGTTATAAAAAACAAAACAAAAACAATAAACTTATGACTACAAAAGTAATAACACTTTAGTCACTAACTGCATTATAAAAGTAATAAAACTATAGTAGTGTTATTACATTTATAAAGCACTTATTACTTTTAAAGTTCATTCTTTGTTCAAACAACATTATTAATTCAAACATTTATTAAAGTAGAAAAGCATCTAGAAAAAATAAAGCGGATATTCAAATAATATTAAAAACTACAGGAACTTTCACATATCACTTAAACAACGTTATAAAAAAGTACTTTATAAAAAGTATAGCATTATGGAAAGTGTTACGTAGAAACGCGCGTTAATTTTAAAATCAACCAATAAAATATTTTTACTGGTTAATTTTAAAATTAATGCACATTTTTACGGTCCATTAGTAACGTTTTTCATATGCTAAACTTTTAATACGACACGTTTTCATAAAGTTGTCTGTCACGATTTTATAAGTTACTTAAGTTTTAATATTATTTGAACATCCACTTTATTCTTCTAGATATTTTTCTACTTCAATTAAAATTTGGGAATACTAATGTTGCTTGACAAAGAATGGATTTTAAAAGTTATAAGTGCGTTATAAAAGTAATAACACTATTATAGTGTTATTACTTTTGTAATGCAGTTAGTGACTAGAATGTTCTTACTTTTGTAATCGTAAGTTTATTGTTTTATTTTTTATTTTTTCGCTAACAAATTTAAGTTGATTTCCTCTTATAAACAAGGAACACAGTTTTGTATAAATTAAAATTTTTAATGCTAGATATTTTTCCAGATTTTGCATTTTGCATTCGCTTAATTCAATCCTTGTTGCTACATTAAAATTACAAAAATAAATTTTACAAACACATTGCAATATTTCATTTTACTATCCTCTTAAAAAAAAAAATTAAGAAAAGGAAAATCATTTTTTTTATTGTAGACTGTTTTTTTTTTCTTTTTTCTATTTCAATCTCTTTTTATTTTGTTAGTTTTGTTTTTTTGTTTTTCAAACTTTTTCAGCATTATTATAAAACTTGCAAACGGCCGTGTTCACGTTTTCTAAAATAATCTAATCGCGTGTGGTCATACGAAACAAAAAATCGCACGCCTTTCCTGGGAAGGCTTAAGATATATATATATATATATATATATATATATATATATATATATATATATATATATATATATATATATATATATATATATATATATATATCTGTGTGTGTGTGTGTGTATATAGCAAAAAAAAATTTTGTGATGGCCGTTGTAATTTAGATAATCATGGGAATTTGTAGGTTTATAAAAAATTAATTAAAAAAAAACATTAATTGATTTTAATAAAGCAACAAAACCATCATCCATGTATCTTTTGAAATTTTTTTGAATATTCTCGCATTCAATTTTATTGAAGAAATTTGTAAAACTTTAGGAAATAATTTAACTTCTTCAAGATATCCTACTACTAAACAAGCATATGGTGGAGCCATTTTTGTTCCCATAGCTGTTCTGATTAATTAATTGAAAAACTCATTATTAAAAGTAAAATTGTTATTTTTTAAAATAAAATTCATGGTTTTTAAAATAAAAGCTTCCGAGAATCTGTTAGGTATATCATCACGTAGTCTACATATCCAAAATTTAATTGCTTCTAAACCTAGTTCATGAGAAATACTAGTATAAAGGTTAGAAATATCAACGCTGTATAATGTAGTAAAAAATTATCATTTTCTATCATGTAATGGATGTGATGGAAAAACAACATACATTGGTAAAACTAATAATCTAAGGTTAAGAACTAATCTACACATCTATACCTGTAGAACAGGTATTGGTTCAGATAAATTTGATCAGCATGTTTTCAATTGCCATAAAAATGAACCTTTTTTAAAATTCTTTCCTATGTTAAAACTTTCAAATGAGAATTTACTTCTTATTTATGATCACCTACATAAACAGGGACATGACAAAATGAACATGTAAATAGAAAGTAATTATTTTTACATTTCTTTTACAAAGATTTTCTTTCCAACAAAAATCAAGTTTTACTATATTATGGTTAGTTATAGTTTTTTTTATATAAACCTAAATTACTTCCTTTTTTAACTTTTTATAGGAAGTTTAATATAAAGAATTTTGATAGTTTTGTAAATCTCATACACAGCTGAAGATTTTATATGAAAGGCCTTCTGTATTAGAGAAAAAATTTTAGAATATTTGTTAAAAGTTAACTAATAAATATATTTTACTCATCTTAGTTTGAATAGTTTTTCTTTTGTTACCTGGAATTTTTTACTTTATATATATATAAATATATATACATATATATATATATATATATATATATATATATATATATATATATATATATATATATATATATATATATATATATATATATATATATATATATATATATATATATATGTATATATATATATATATACAATTGCAATATTACGTTTCAGATGCAATATAACATCTCAAATTAATATTGGAGGGGTGATATTATGTCTCAAATATGTATTCTTAAGTACACTTTAAATTTAAAGACTATTTTAGGCAGGATGTCTAAGACGTAAAACTATGTCTCAATTATTCAGACATAATATATGCATTTTTAAACCTTGTCTAGAAAGAACATCATTAGAAAAACCAGCCCAACAGTATTCCATACAGGAAAAAATAAGGGATTTGTAGAGTTAGAGAATAGAATCAGGGTTAAGAAAATGGTGAATGCAATATAGAAAAGCAACCTTAGAACATGCTAACTTAACAATCAATTGTATGCATGGTTTCCATGAGAGGTTATTAGTGAACAATAATCTAAGAAGGTTAAAGAAGAGAACTCAGTGAGAGGGTCACCATTTATCAATATAGGAATGTTGACAGTATTGGGATAATTGTTTGTTGTAAATAACTGAGTTTTGTTGGACTTAAAATTTACAAGACTAAATTTACTTGGCTCGGAACTGACAAGAAAGAATAAAATCTTCAAATCCCTGCTTGGATCCACGAGGTTATGTAGGAAGGATATATTAGCGGAGAGAGAAAAGACATCAGCCTAAGGACAGCCTTAAGAAAATAATCCCAGTCAGCTTTAGGGTAGTAGTAAGTAGTTCGGTGATAGAATGAGTTCAAAGGAGAAATACAAGAGGAAAGATTTATAAAGATAATTGCATGGCAGAACCACTTAAAGGAGAAAAAGAAGAAACTGACAAGACATGACTTATAAGACAAGACCCAAATTAAGGAGTTAAGATAAGTAAAGAGAAAGGATATTGTCAATATGATCAGAAATTATGTAATTTTAGATGAATATCTTTTAGATGTACATTTAAAAGAGTGCTGTCTTGAGAAAAAGGAAAACAATAAAAAACAATTAGAAAGGTGATCAAGTGGAGAGGTGCTAAGCGGAAGCACATAAAAGAATGGTCAAGTGATTCAAACGTGACTTTATGACAAATAGGTGTGTAATATCCGTGTTCGGCATAATACACACATGCCTCGTGTTATTATTATTACTTGAAATAAATATGGCGGTTTGCACGCTTTAAACTATGTTGTATTTAGTTCTTAGTATAACATCATCCTCAGAATATTACATGGTACCAGAAGTAAACCTGTGTTTTAAATAAAATGGAACAACTTAGACCATTAGAGGCCATGAATTTAAATGGCAATGTTTCAGAAAACTGGCGAAAATGGAAACAGAGATGGAATCTTTATAAAATAGCTTCAGGAGTCAATGACAAGAATGAAGATATCCAATGTGCCACCTTTCTTCGTATGATTGGCGAGGACGCTTTAAGAGTATATGATACATTTGTTTTCACTATCAAAGAGAACGATAAATTAGCACCTTTAGTTCAAAAGTTTGAATGTTATTTCAGCCCCAAAAAAAACATAACTTATGAACGTTATTTATTCAATACATGTATGCAAGACAGCAGACTATTTACTGACTTCTTAATCGATTTACGGAATAAAGCTAAAACCTGCAAGTTTGGAACCCTCGAAGAAAGCCTAACACGTGACAGAGTAGTCTGTGGAATTGACTCTAAAGCTGCAAGAGAACGACTACTTAGAGACACTGAGCTTACTCTAGAGAAAACAATCAGTTTCATGAGAGCATATGAAACATCAAAAACACAATTAAAAGCCCTTGAAAATACAATCCAGGCAGATTCTATAAATAATCAAATATAAAAAATCGTGTAGACCAAGTTGATCAAAAGGAAGTCAACCTCAACGTTGCAGAGTTATATATTCATCATGTGGAATGTCCTGACGATTTAACAACAAATATTACAGTCAACAACAAAAATATAACATTTAAATTAGATACTGGAGCCCAATGTAACGTTATTCCATACAACATCTACAACTCTATTCCTGGAAGATCTCCTCTCAAAAAAACAATAACTCAACTAAAATCATATGGTGGAAACAATATTCCTGTACTAGGAATATGCAACCTAACTATAAAAAAGAATAACATTTCACAAGTGTGTCAGTTTTTTGTTGTATCTCTGTCTGACGTAAAACCACTTCTTGGTCTAAGTTCTTGCAAATCTCTTGAAATACTAAACATTAACAATGTTGAAATAGATAAAACTAACATCTTAAAACATTATAGTGATGTTTTTACCGGCCTTGGTTTAGTTAAAGGAAACTATCATATCGCACTTGCTAGAGATGCAATCCCAGTCATTCATGCACCAAGGAAAGTACCAATGACTGTTCTACCTAAACTTAAAAGCACACTTGATCTTCTAGTAAAAGCCACAGTTATCTCAAAAATTTCTAAACCGACACCTTGGGTACACTCAATGGTCATCGTAGAGAAAAAAGATCGATCCTTAAGATTATGCATTGATCCGAAAGAACTAAACAAGTCTGTTCTAAGACAATACAAAACCACTCCATCTACATAAGAAATCTCTAGCAAACTTTGCGGCAACAAAGTTTTCACTGTTATAAACATGGCTGATTGCTATTGGCATATAAAACTAGATGAACCTTCCTCAGAGCTATGCACATTTAACACTCCTTATGGCCGATACAAATTCAACCGCATGCCATTTGGCATATCATGCGCATCGGATGCTGCACAAGAGATGATTGAACTTAATTTCGGTGATATCCCTAATGTTCTGGCTATCCACGATGACTTGATTATTGGAGCTAAAACAGATACAGAGCATGATAAAATTTTCCAACAAATTCTACAACAAGCTCGTGGAAGAAACATCAAATTCAACCTAAAAAAAATACAATTTCGAGTATCTGAGGTCAAGTATCTTGGCAACATAATCAGCCATGAAGGCATAAGAGTTGATCCTGAAAAAACTAAAGCCATATCTGCATACCCATTGCCTGCATGTCAAGCAGATTTGCAATGGCTCTTAGGTGGTCAACTACCTGCAACAATTCATCCCAAATATGTCAGAGATAACAGCTCCCCTCCGCCAGCTGCTTAGAAAAGACATACACTGGTCATGGAACCATGAACATACCAGTGCTATGGAAAAAATTAAACAGGTTCTTTCATCTTCTCCTGTACTCTCATTTTTCGACACGTCAAAAGATGTTCAAATTCAGGTAGACGCATCTTCACATGGGTTAGGAGCCTGTATTATGCAAGAAGGTCACCCGATCAGCTATACTTCTCGTAGTCTAACCATAGCAGAACAGAGATATGCCCAGATAGAGAAAGAACTTTTAGCAATAGTTTTTGCTTGTGAACGTTTCAACCAATATACCTATAGGCGACAGGTCTCAATAGAAAGTGATCACAAACCTCTTGAATATATCTTGCACAAGCCACTGTCAGAAGCACCACCTCGCATACAAAGACTTCTGATAAGACTCCAAAAATATCAAGTTATAGTAAAATATGTTCCAGGAAAAGATCTACACATTGCAGACTCTTTATCACGTGCTCACCTCAACATTTTTGACGAGGATGATAGCCTAAATGAGGACTGCAGCGTTATGATCCACACTTTAGTTCAAAATTTGCCAATATCAACAGATAGACTAAAACAATTGCAGCACAACACTAAACTTGACCCTGTGCTCTCTCAAATAACAAACTATATAACTTATGGTTGGCCCCGAAACCGACAAATGCTCTGTGGTAAAGAAAAGAAATATTGGACCATCAGAACTTACACATAGCAGAGGTAATAATTTTAAAAGAAAATAAAATAGTCATACCAACTGATATGAGACCCCTTATATTAACACAGCTTCACTTATCACACCTTGGCACCGAAAAGACGAAAGCTAGAGCTCGAAACGTTGTTTACTGTCCAGGACTTACAAGCGACATTGATAAACTAATACTTAATAGCCATAAATGGCTTAAATACCGTAATAACAACAAAAAGGAAAAAATCATTCAACACGACATTCCTGACTTACCGAGGAGTAAAGTAGGATCAGACATATATGAGTTGCATGGAAAAATCTATGTAATTGTTATAGACTACTTTTCTAAATTTATAGAAAACAGTGTCATTCCTGACAAAACGGCATTTTCTGTAATCAAATTTATAAAAACCATATTTACTCGTCACGGAATACCTTCAAGTCTCATTGCCAATAACAACCCCTACAACAGTGCAGAATTCCTTAACTTCTTAAAAGAATATGGGTTTAACTTCACTCCATCAAGTCCAAACTATCCCCAATCAAATGGTCTCAATGAAATGGGCGTAAAAATTATAAAGAAAATATTAAAAAAATGTGACAACCCTGAGCTTGGTCTTCTAGAATACCTCAACATGCCTCTCACTGGTATGGACTACTCCCCATCCCAACTTCTCATGAACAGAAGAACGCGAACAACCCTACCTGTCCACCATGACTTACTTATACCAGCAGTTCCTGTAAATGCTTATAGTCGGATCACCAAGTCCAGAAATCATCAAAAACAATACTATGATCGAAACGCATCTGAACTCCCAAATCTCGTAGCAAACGACACTGCCCGTATGAGAAAAGATGGAAAATGGAAGAAAGTGACAGTTAAAGAAAAATTAACATTACCCAGATCATACAACGTGGTTGATAAGTACGGAAGAGTATATCGACGCAATCGTAAACATCTGATTAAAACCAATGAGCAACCACTAGTATATCAGCATGAACAACTTGATTTGCCATACGATTTACCGGCTGTTAACACACCTACATCAAATGAGGAAACAGCAAACAACAAAATAGAAGTTACGTGTATTCCTGAAACTCTATCGGCTGAACCGCAGCCTGACTTGCGAAGATCTCTAAGGACTAAAAACAGATCTGCCTATTGAGAGACTTCATTTAACAGTGTATATTATAAAGAACTTGTTTAGCTATATGATAAATATACACATCTTTAAACTTTAAAAAAAAAAAAAAAAAAAAAAAAAAAAAAAATTTAAGAAGGAAGATGTAATATCCCTGTTCGGCATAATACACACATGTCTCGTGTTATTATTATTACTTGAAATAAATATGGCGGTTTGCATGCTTTAAACTTTGTTGTATTTAGTTCTTAGTATAACATCATCCTCAGAATATTACAGGTGAATTAATGCATAAGTATATCCCCTAGGCAAGCATGTGATTATTGGAGTCTTTGCAAATTAAGGGATAGAACCTATCAACATTTAGATCTAAAAAAGGAACAGTGCAATTTAAATTAGTCTTACAGAGATCAAGCAAGTCTTGTGAATTTTGTAAGAGGAAGAATTCAACTGATAGAAGGTTACTTTGCAGACAAATATTTATTTATTTTTTCTTAAAAAAAAGCATGTTTAAATAACTTTCTGTTTTTTTTATTTTATTTAATTTTATTACATATTTAAGTTAAATATTTAAGTTTAAAGAGAACTTGACTTATTCATAGATAAAGCATGGCCTCCCAAGCAATGAACTATGCAATTTTTTCAGTCCTGTTAATTAACCCTAAGTCGTAACATAGGGTTCTTTATGTGGCCTCAACAATGCACATTAAAAGCATTAACACGAACATAAACCATGCGCAACATGACACTGTTAATACTCAGATATTTTGCAGCTTTTGATGGAATCAGCTTCTCTGAGAGCTTTTGATGGAATTAGCTTCTCTGAGAGCTACCACAAAGTTTGGGAAACTCTTACTACCAGTCTGTCTCAGAACCATTTAACTGAGTTTGAGAGCTGTACCCTCATTAGGAAATAACAGAAAGAGTTGCATAGCCACTATTAATTATTCACAAGCAAAAACCTATGAGAAAAGTCAAGAAAATCCAACATTCATCATCCTAGGCAAGAAACAATGTAACACAGGTTTACTTCTATGCCAGCCTAACAGATGAAGAAGGAGTTTGAGACTGGCCAACTAATTATTCTGCTTACCCCTAAAGTCTTAGCCTAGACAAGATAGTAGCTAGAAGCAGTTAATATCTGCCCATGATGAGTACTTCTATCGAGACACTATCTCTAGCCTTATTTAACCAAGAGCCTCAAAGTAGGGGATTTTTACGTCTAAGTTTGCTTCTACTCATCTTTGCCTGAAAAAGCACACTCTACAAGGCAGCAGGGCATGGTGCAGGTGGTACTGGGTTACATAATACCAGTAGTAGGGTGATTGTAATGATCTTGAACCTGACCTGACCCGGAGTAATTAAAAGAAGCTACTTCCTGCAAACAGCACCTTAAAGCATTGAGCATGATATTTTGGAAATGCATTAGGAAAAATATTACATCTAACAAAATACTAGAGATAAGGGTGAGCATAAGTTTAATAGTTGGAGTGTCTAGTTAGTTAGTTAATGAGCTCACACTGCATTAAAACAGATTTAAATATTTAAACAAAACATTTATTTGTTTAAACAGAATGCATACATCATAAAGTAACTTATGAGTGAGTAAACACCGCGCCAGAGGTTCAGGCAGAACACAAATTTACATATAAACATAATTAGACAGAATACAAACATACAGCAGGCTTGGTCGGGAAGCGGGTGCGATTGTACTTAATAATTGACCACGGAAATATTATTTAGTTGCAAAAAACCGGCCAGGTTTTTTAGTCGTTTTGAGAACATTTCAAAAACAAACAAAAAAGCGCATTAAGATTAACTGGACCGATGAGAGACAGTTAAAAAAAGAACAATAGCTTTTAACGCGAAAAAACTTTAAGCAAAATGAATTTATTAGAGCAATTATTTTTGAAACATCGCTCTTTTATAACTTTTTTTATAAAATTAAGCAACATTTTTTATATAAAGTAACAAATATAAAGAAACAAATGTTCTTCGATTTAACAAAGAGCATATATAATTTATATATATATACTTATGTCTTATTTCCAGTGCTGGATTGAGGAGGTGAGGTGGGGGTAGTAGGGCTGTAGCCCCAGGACTCACAGTGTTATGGGAAATAGTCAAGAGGACCATTCGGTATTTTTTTTAGTCATTTTTACACTGGCACATAAAAAATCCGCCAGAATAATGCAGCCCCCGGCCCTGAAAAATTCAACAAGATTCAACCAGATGATTTATTTATAAATAAAAACGTTTTTTCAATAACTGTTTTATGCTTCGCGTAGTTTAAAAAGTTCAACACATTTGAAACAATTCTTCTTAGTAAGATAAACAAATGAAATAATTATATCATTGAGTTACTGTAGAAGTTCAATTATCTCGATAGAAATTAACAAATAACGTTAAATTACTTTGTTAGGAGGAAGCGGAACTGCTTCAAATACCGCTGGGGATGTTTAGTGAGTCGGCTTTATAATTTTAATTAGTATTTAAAACAGAAAAAGTAACTTTAAGTATAACGAGTTTGTAAGAATGGCTGAAGCAAAAATAAGTGAAGTTAGTAAAACAATTTCTAAGAACTTAATAACTTTTCTTTCTTGGGAGAAAGAATCAGTTATCGGGTACACTGAGGAAAATGGATTAGTGGTTAAAATTTTCTGTATTAATTTTGACGATTATTAATAATTTTATTGAAAACGCAGCTATTATTGAAAGTATTTTTGTTTCAATAGCACAAATTGCTTTAAAATATAACATTTGAATAAAAAACACATAGATAAAATTACATAAATAAAAATACATTACATACATAAAAAATACATCCCTTATATATAAAAAATAAGAATATACTAATAAAATCTATAATATATTTACAAAATGTTGACAAGTTAAAACATAAATTTAAAACATTTATTATTGTAACCAAATAATGTTAGTTTAAAACATTTATAGCTTTGTAGATGTGGCTCCAAGAATTAAAATAATAGTTCATTTGATAGTATATTCTTAAAATAATTATATAATGCTAGAAATCTCAACAAAAACGCAACAAAATTCAAAAAATACAAGTTTTAAAAATATTTCAACAGAATACTCAAGACATTCGGTTAGTATTTTTTGAATACTCTAGAAATTTTGGTTAGTATTTTTTGAACCAATAGAATTAGTTGTCTGTAGATTTGGCGGGTTTTTTGTGTATGCGAATATTCTTTTTTTATTTTCTGAGATGTTTGAAAACATTCAAGTTTATGTATGTTTCCATGTAAATCCGTAAAACAAAAAATTTTAAAATTCACGATAAAATGAACTTATTATTTTGCGGACAAACAAGGAAACATACATAAATTTAAATTTTTCAAAAGGACTAAAAAATCTCACCAGTTTTTTGCAACTAAATACTATTTCCGTGGTCACTTATCGAGTGCGATAGCACCCGCTTCCCGATCAAGCCTGATACAGATAGCAACTTACAAGTGAGTCAACACTATGCCAGAGGTTCAGACAGAACATAAACATAAAGATAGCAACTTAAGGGTGAGTCAACACTGCGCCAATAGGCCGGGTGAATAAAAAAGAGCAGTTGCTTTTACTCAGCATTTTTGGAGTAATTGCTCAAGTTTACGTGATCAAAAATTTAGAGCAATTACTCTTTTTTCCGCGAAAGCTTTTACTCATGAGCTTTTGCTTAAATGTTTAGCAATTGCTCACATATGAGAAAAGTGCGTGAATAAAAAAGCTACAACTCAAAAAACAGCGAGCAATTGCTACTAATTTTACGAGCACCTATGAAAGTTGCTTTTTTTTTTTTTTTTTTTTTTTGATAATTGGACATTTTATTATTTTACTACTATATTTTACTATTTTTTGACTATATATATATATATATATATATATATATATATAATATATATATATATATATATATATATATATATATATATATATATATATATATACACACATATATATGTATATATATATACATATATGTATATATATACATATATAATATATAAATATATATATATATTTATATATATATACATATATATGTATATATATATATATATATATACATATATATGTATATATATATGTATGTATATATATATATATATATATATATATATATATATATATATATATATATATATATATATATATATATATATATATATATATATATATATATATATATATATATATATATATATATATATATATATGTATGTATATATTTAACTTTTAGGTTTTAATTTTTACATTATGCATTTAGTTATAATTATACTAGCATGTTTTTGACACAATTATTTTTTTGGAATATAATTTTGGCAAAAATGAAGTTGCGCATGCTGTCTTTCTAAGTTTGTGTGTATTTAATTCAATATATATATTTTTTGCATACGTTGAGTATTATAATTAAATAAAAACTGCAGCCTAATGTCGATGAATGGAATGCGCGTTTATATTAAAGAGTAGTTAAAGAGTACTTGCAAATTTATCACATTTTATAAATTGTAAATAATACATTTGCATAATGTAATCGGTTATACAATCAAGGTATTAGATATAGTGAACAGTAATTAACAAACATAATAATAAAACATATTAGTTGCATTAAAAATACATCTCAAAATACGTCTTTAAATGGCCCAAATGTTTCCAGAACGAAAAACTAAATCCTATAATACTTGAAAGGCACCACCAACAGCTTCAAATGAATACCATAAATTGTTTCGATTTACGGATGATAACGTTACGTGGGTGGCAAAACACTTTTTGGATGTAAGTGATGAAACTCGGGAAGGATCACTAACAACCAAGCAAAGAATGGAAGTTACACTACATTATCTAGCAAACCCTAGCTTCCAAACCAGAATTTCAAACGAAACTGGGATTCATCGCAGTACTGTTTCAAAAACTGTTACTTTGACACTTCAAAAAGTTTTGACTTAGGCTTCTCAGTGGATTGTTTTCTCACATACAGAAAAACAAATTTTAAGAGCAAAACTGGCATGGGCAAATAAAAGAGGCTTTCCCTGTACAATAGGAGCTATTGATTGCACCCAAATAAGAATCGATAAACCCTATGGAGAATTTGGTGATGAGTTTGTTAATAGAAAAGGCTTTTATGTTAATTTTTTTATTTTCCTGATAAATAAATTGAGAGTAATATTTGTACCACTACTTTAATGTAATGTAACTTGTGTAATAATTTTATAGGTAAGAATTAAGCCAGAGATGATAGCTACATGAATCACTGCATGCTTTATACTGCACAATATTGCAAAAGCTTTAAACAATCCAGATTTTGAGGATGAAGATGTTGAAGAAGATGACGAAGAAATTCCTGTAATTGAAGAAGGAAATGAACAGCAACTTCGATTACTTGGTCAGCAGCGTAAAAATAAAATTGCTTTGGCAAAATTAAATTAAGAGACTTATGTAGAGAGAATTATGTAATTAACATCTTTTTTGTTATCAACTTTGTAATATGAAAATTTTAAAAGTACAATGTCTTTTTATTAGTAACAAATTAAAAACAACATACATAATTTTTATTTTATTGTATTGTTTATATTATTAAAAATATACTTTCAAAGTTTTCTTTGATAAATAACTATTTTAAAGAATTTTTAAGATGTGCTAACATAACATTTTAAAGTTTTATTTGCAGTAAAATAAACAAAAGTTTCTCAAATGTCAGTTATAATATGTTTATGACTTAATAACTTATTTGATAATACTTTTATGTAGTAAATGTTCATTATTAGGATATTATTAAAATATGCATTATTTGGTAATACATTTTTATTATGCTATAAATCTTAGAAATATTTTTAAACAGATTATAACTGACATTTAAGAAATAAAATGAAACATAATAAACTGGAAATAAAACATAAAGAAGTGACATTTTAAAATAGATTTTAGTTGCTGTGAAATGTATAAAGATACTTTAATTAATTTAAATTAATGCTTTGTTTTACTTTATTCTAACGTTTTATTTTAACATTTGGAACTTGGCTTTTTTGTAGAAGTATTGGCAATTCGCACAGTATGTTTATAAAAACTTCATCTTCACATTTGTTAAAACTTTGGCTAGCTATATTATTTTCACTTGATTCAATTGAAATCTGGTATGAAGAAGCCATTTTTAAAAATTAAAAGTTAAAAAAGCTACCTATATCCGCAACAGCATATAGCTTTTACTCCGACACAAAAGCATTTGCTTGCGAGCATTAGCAAAACTTTATTCACACATTTTTGAGCAATTGCTATTGCGGCGAGCATTTGCTTTTAACTTTTACTTTTACTCAGAGCAATTGCTTGTGTACAATTTTTTATTCACCCGGCCTAATATATATATAATATATATATATATATATATATATATATATATATATATATATATATATATATATATATATATATATATATGTATATATTTATAATACGCTATTATAAATATATTGTGTATATATATATATATATATATATATATATACATACATACATATATGTATATATATATATATATATATATATATATATATATATATATATATATATATATATATGTATATATATATGTGTATATATATATATATATATATATATATATATATATATATATATATATATATATATATATATATATATAAACAATTCATTATATAAACATATAAATAAACAATACATTTTTTTTTATACATATAAAAAAAACACATATTGTATTTTTTTATCATTTCCTTTCTTTTGTGTCATGTTAAAGGCTTTTAATAAAGTCTGGCATTTTGTTCATAAGCATGCATAATAGGGTATGTCTGGAAAAGTTTTTAAAGTTATTGAGCTATTCCTTTTTTGAGGCGGTATAAAAGTTATCCTTAATGAATAACACTCCTCTTCATTTGTTCAATTATTAGTTCTTTGTTGTTTCTTGTCTATTTTCTGATGAACTATATACTCAGTTTTGAAAAAAAGTCATCACTTTTTGATTGCTTAGAACAGGTAGCTGCTTTTGAATTTAATGTCTCTTTTGTGACAACTTGGGGCTTGCAGGGGCTTGTGATTTTTAAATCTAACAAAACACAGTTATTCACTTAACTTATAATTATTGCATTATTGTTAGTATTACTTTATTTATGAATAATAACACTCTTTCCAAGTCCTCTGCTTGTCATCATAAAAAATCTATTAAATATTTTTTTAAAAAAGGCCCTATTTTTTTTATTTAAAAAAAAGCTCATAAAAATATAAGTGTTTATTATAATTTACAAAATTTGTCAATACTGTTTTTACAAGTTATTCTTCTATAAGTATTGGTATGCAAGTATACTGGTATTGCGATCCCTATCACAAGTAGTGTCCTATTGTAAGATCCTATTATAAGTTATAAGGTCTTATTATAAGTTAAAAATTTAATCCTAGAAAATAATTTTTGAATATACATGCTATATGGGTATATATATACTAGTTATCTGGGCCTGTAAGATATGGGACTTAGTAAGTCTATTCCTCAAGTCAATTTCTGTACTTATACTTGAAGGGATTTGGGGAGTGTTGATACAGCAAGTGTTACACAAAAATAATGCATAATTAACACACAAAACAAAAGTGTCCATAGGAACAAATAGTATAACACAGTTGCAACAGAATTCAGTTTTCAATACAAACTGAACAACCACACCATGTTCAAATGCTCTAAACTAAAAAATTTTCTGTTTTCTTTAAGGGAATTTTATTTAGAATCGAATATTGTGTAAAACGTTATTTAGTTAGTACAGATATTTATTAATTTGTGAATGGTTTTTTATTTTAATGAATTTTTAGTACTTTGACCTAATTTTTTTTTTTTACATTTTGGGGCACATTGATACATATTAATGTGGGGCACATTGACTTAAATCAATAAATTCAAGACCTAAATACATATCAATAAAAGATGAAGCAACTTTTATTGATATGTATTTAGGTCTTAAACTAAACCTATAATTATGGGTTAAAACTCTTCTTCAAAAGCAGTTGAATAGGCAGAAATTGTATTTTGATGTAATATTGTAATGTAAAATAAATTGTAAAAAAAAATATTAGACATATTTAGTTTTGTTTTATTTTTTAGGTTTTTCATTAATATTTGCTATGAATCAATGTGCCTCTGGCTTGTATCAATGTACCTCGTGATAGGGATACAAATTATATTTTTTTATTAAATGGGTCCCAAATATTTTTCTCATAAGTCTTAGCAGTAATTTGTCTCAATTAAGATTTTTTTAATTATTTAGACAAATATATGCATTGATATGAGCTGTTTATTAATTATATGTTTATTAATTATAGCTGTAGATTTATATCTACAGCTATAATTAATAAACATATAATTAATAAATACATTGGAATTCACATCTCTCACTATCCATCAGAATTCACATCTCTCACTATCCATATTATTTCTTCAAAAATATTAATGCTTTACAAATTTTAGTGAAGTTAGGGTTTTGACTCTTTGTAGTGAAGTCCTTTTTTACTGCAGTATGGAGTAGGCATAAATTGCAGGGTAAATCATAGATGTCTATGATGTTTATTTGATGGGTTAAACTAGGTATTGATGCTGAGCCTCTTTGAAACGCCAGCAATAAAAAATGCAGTTCTGAAGAGAAGTTTATTACCACTGCATAAATTATGATTACACAATGCAATAATGTTTTTTCTTCATCTTCTACCTCCTATCATTTTATATTTGTTCATTTTAAATATTGATATATATATGCATATGTATATTTGTTTTGAAGTAATTTAAACTTTTATATTTAATGAAGATTTATGGTTAATTGTGTATCTTGTTTGGTTGTAAGTGTACTTTAACAATAAAATTACTGCTGACTATGATTTATGTATAAGCTTTTTCTTCTTAAAATAAGCATGTGTTTATCCTGAACATCTGTTTGTTTATCTTTGTTTGTAATCACTTATCCTATTTTATATAAAAAGTTTTTTCAATAGAAATATTTCATATTTCTCTGTGGGTTTTCATTGCTCAGTCTAGTTCAAGCACCACATACTACATATACAAAATATAACAAAAATAATTACTTAATCAAAAATTTGCATTGATATGAGCTGTGATATGTGTTTATTATTTATAGCTGTAGATATAAGCTTATATTTATGTGTACAAAATATTTATTTCAATTTATTAGGATAAAATCTGTTTGTTGAGTGAATTGTTTATGAACATGTGTTCTTCAATCAACAACGATGGTGTCTTTTATTGCGGAGAAGTGAGTATAGGCGCTAAATATGTGCCAGATAAAAGTATCTTGCAGCTGAAAGTTATA